GGAAAATCAACATTACAATTGTAACTCGTAAACAAAAAAAGTGAAGTAATGATTTTGTTTTTGTTAATAAGAAGTAATGATTTAAAATGCTTTAAACAAAAATAAATCTTTACACTATACGTTCACTTTACGCATGCAAAGTCTCATACATGGTTCATGATCTCTACATAAATCAAATTAAATTGACTAAGATAGAAGAAGTTCAATTAACAAGATATTCTTGGAAAATGTTTTTATTTGACATCATTTTCCAAAGTCTCTTTGGACCTTTCACCTTCTTTTACCTTTTAAGTTTACCGAAACTGATAGTGAGAGTTACACCAGATCTCTCTTCTTCGTCTCCATTGATTCTTCTGCACCAATCCTCTAAAAAAGTTGCTTGTCATGTCTTGAAAGACAAGTAAAGCCTTTTCGTAATTTCTACCGTTGCTTTGATGGACACTAAAGAGATACGAAAGCTCTTGGAAAAAAACGAGCAAACAACTCTTTTCGCTAGACTATGTTCTTGGTCACTCAAAGATATCCTCAACGAAGATCTCTCCAAGGAAAAGGTCTTTGATCTTTTTTTTTAACCATTTCTTCAGTAGCTTTATCTTCAGTACTTACTTATTTTTGTATTTTTGTAACAGATAATGACAATACCAGACAGATTTAGTTCCGTTGATGAATACTCTCAGTGTTTTGTTCCTCATTTACTCGAGGAAACACGAACTGAGTTGTTCTCGAGCTTCAGATCTTTATCGAAATCTCCTGTCTCACGAATACTTTCTGTGGAGACAAAAGTGATTGAATATAGTGGAAGGTCATCGATCAAGTTGTTCCATGATATTAAATTAATGGATTATGCAGACGATAAAAACGAAATATATGAGCCAAAGTGTGGAGATATTATTGCACTGAGTCCTCTGAGTTTGACAGAAGAAAGGCCAAGAATCGATGACTTGGATCCTTTACTTCTAGGTTACGTTTTCTCTGTGTATGGTGATTCTAAAATCTCTGTTCACTTCTCTAGATCCATTTCTCAGAGTGAGAAACATACATTTCGCACAGGTGTTTTTCTCATTAATATAACCACAAACACTCGAATTTGGAACGCTTTACACAAGGATGCTGCCGATTCCACTCTGATCCAGAGTGTCCTTCAGGAAGATGCTTCGGTACGCATTAAGAAATAATCTTGATCCAATTCAAATTTCTTTGTAACATAAAAACAGAGCTCTATCTTATGCTTCAATGGAGTGATTTGTCGGTTAACTTGTCTTGCAGGCTACAGAACAATGTTTTTCTTGTGAAAATGATGTTGATGGTTCTGATTCTGACCGTGTTGTCGATATAATACGTTCAGCAAAACTGAACTCTTCCCAAGAAGCTGCGATTTTGGGCTTCTTTAAGACAAGGAATTGTAAACACAAGAAGAGTGTGAAACTGATATGGGGACCACCTGGTACCGGCAAAACAAAGACGGTCGCGACACTTCTCTCTACTCTTATGCAACTAAAGTGCAAAACAGTTGTATGTGCTCCTACAAACACAGCTATTGTAGCAGTTGCGTCAAGGTTATTATCTTTATCTAAGGAAACAATTGTGTGTGCTCCAACAAACTCGGCTATCGCAGAAGTAGTATCGAGGTTCGAATTCTCTACCTTATTCTATGGAACTTCTATATTAGAACGTACCACTTACGGTATGGGGAATATAGTTCTATCTGGAAACCGCGAGAGAATGGGGATTACGAACAATAAAGTTCTTCTCAATGTGTTTTTCAATGACCGAGTTAGTAAACTTGGTAGACTGTTTTTATCTACTTGTGGATGGAAGAAGAGGCTAGAGTCAATCATAGATTTTCTTGAGAACACAGAGGCTAAGTACGAGCAACATGTAAATGAACTAGAGCTTGAAAGAATGACAGAAGATGAAAAGAAGAAGGAAGAAGTTGAAGAGAGGACGATGCAAGAAGTTGTAAACATTCCAACATTTGGAGAGTTTGTGAAAAAGAAGTTATATGTCTTAACTGAGGAATTGGGGAAGGATATGGCTGATTTGAGCACTCATCTGCCTAAGTCTTTCATTTCAGCTAAAGATGTCAAGAATATGATAGCAGCCCGCCAAGCGCTTCACCGTGTTAGATATTTCTTGCAGGAGAATTCTTCTAGAGACTATTTGCATTAATATTTATTGATTTGTATAATCTTTTTTTCATTATTCTTTTTGGTTAATTTATTTGATATTGAAACAGTTTCAAGTCAAAGGAAGCAGAAGATGAGTGTAGGAGTTATTTCACCTTACAAGGGACAAGTGAGAGCAATCCAAGAGAGAGTTGGTGATAAGTACAATTCCTTATCAGGTGATCAGCTTTTCACTTTGAATGTTCAATCGGTAGATGGGTTTCAAGGAGGAGAAGTAGACGTTATCATCATCTCTACCGTTAGATGTAACGTTAACGGAAACGTGGGATTTCTCAGTAACCGTCAAAGAGCTAACGTGGCATTGACTCGTGCAAGACATTGTTTATGGGTGATTGGTAACGGGACCACTTTGGCTCTAAGAGATGCCATGAGTGATGCTTTGCTTGATGATGTGTCTTCGAGTTTTGGATCTTTGTCGATTAGGAATGGGAGAAGAAATGATTGGTAGAATTTTATTTTGGTCTTCTTTTATGTTTTTGCTTTCCCTACGAAAACTTTGCATTGGATTTATGATATTTATCAGCAAATCTTAGTTATTTATTTCTGATGGGCTTAGCTCAAGCCACAGTATTAAGTATTAACACTTTGAAAGAGAACCATATTTTTTTACTACAATGAAGTGATTTGCGGGTTTACTTGTCTTCCAGGCTACAGAACAATGTGTTTGTTGTTGGAATCATGTTGATGTTCTATTAGAATAAAACAAAACAGATCACAAATCTCTAAAATCAAATGGTTTGATCCCAACAATTTTTTTTTGATACCAAAAAGGGATTTTGTATCATTTCTTTGGGTTAGGTATTGCTAAAAATAACAACACTAGTTATATACTATCATGAATATATATCTTACTTGGTCACAACGTAACTCATATGATTCAACTGAAACTAAACAAGAAACTTAAGAGCAAAGGTGCAAAACATAAAGACCTGTTCAACAGTTCAAGACTTTGAGCTTGCATATTTGATATTACAACAAAAGGAATTAAGCACATAAACACAGTGGGGTAGCTACATAGTGATGCCTAAACCCCTAATCACAATAATTTTTATGCTTAATTTCCCGAGAATCCAAACATACTTAAGAGGAAGGTAAGAAACTAAGAAAGAGTCGTCTCCACATATCTTTATAAAAAAAGAGAGATAAGACATGATTTTGTTCTCTTGCTCTCTTACCTCCAAAACGTGAAGCTTGAAGCTGGTTGTTCTAGACTATACCTAATCAACAAACCAAACGAAATTCGAACCAGATTTGTGAACCGAAATCCGGATTTATTAAACCGATGTATTTTAGGAGATGATGCCAATGTATTTCATACTTATGATCCTTGGTGGGATGAAGCATGCTTGTATCTGTGCAGGTCTTGGTTTGCTTTACAACGTTAGCAGATTCTTTTACTTTAAAGGCTATTCTACTCGTGACCCTAAGAATCGTCTCACTATCGGATTTGTTCTTCATCTTTCTTTTATGTTTTTAACAAGTTCTTGGAGTTCAAAACTGTGATGAAGTAATACTAGATTGAGTTCCAACAGAATCTAGTATAGTTGAAATTTAACTAAGGAAACAAAACTACAAAATTTGCTATGTATAGATGTTGGAATCCTAGGCTTATGTCTCTATATTATGTGTTTCAAACTTTCAATGACTTGGTAGCAGTTATGATCTCTGATGTAGCATGATCAGTGATTTGTTTTTTTTTTCTTAGCTTCATGTAATTTTGGTTAACAAGCCTAGTTTACTGTTGAAGAGACTTCACTCTCATGGCTCAGCTTTTTTGGTTCTGTCCTTCTACTTTGGGAAACTTAGCTTTTTACATTTTTGTTCATCAACTAACTTTCACATCATGCAGACATTGAATCTTAAAACACTTTCAAGCTTGTGTAAAAATTAAGCCTCCATCTAGCTGGAAAGTAGCAAGAGAATGTCTAGTAGTTGTTATGAGAATTATGGATAAGAACAAGCTAATGGAATTAGAACACGAGCATGTTTGATACGTATCTAAATTCTCAATTGATTCTGCATCAAGTAGGTGTAGTAGTGGTAGTAGCCTGTTGATGAACTCTCTCTTCCTCTGTCTTGCAGGAATATGCCTTCTTAGCAATGCTAGGTCTGGCCGTTTGCACTACTCATTTGCTATTACCTTACTTCGCAGCTGAGCCTAGCCCCTCTTTGTAAGTTTATTGTTTGATACTTTGATTAATCTTCACTTTGCCATACATCGAGGTTGCTGCTTGATTTGTGGCTCGACACTTTGGTTTTGCAACTTTAAAACTATAGTTTGTTTTTATGATTTCGTAACATGTGTATACTTTCTTCAGATAATGCTTTCAAAATGTTGAATATCATAGAATTTGTTAATCTACTCGCTCAAACTACAAATTCACAAGGTGATATAACTTTTGATTTTGGCGTGTTACATCAGTAAGCACTAGTCCTATTCTAAACTAAGTTAAATTTGCCACTTCCATTGACAAAATAACCTCTCTTGAAACTCAAACAATTAAAAATCATCAATCTTTGTAATAGCATGATTAATTATAAAATAACAAGAAAATACTACGTATCTAAATTAATCTTGAATTATATTAACACAATTTTTCTTTGCTCACCACACAAAAAAATATATATAAAAAATCGTTTTACCAAACAAGGCAAATAAAAAAGATGGACCAGAAAATAGGCTTGGATTTTCTCAAAAAAGAGAAATCAATTCGCTCAGATTGTTCAGCTTCGATCATTTGGGGAAATAATCCTCACTTCCATCTAATTATGTGAAACTAGTTATAAAATTGATTGTATATAAAAAAAAAAAAAAGGGATCAGAAAATTGGCTTGGAATCTCTCTGAAAGAGAGAAACATAAAATCGCTCCGTATAATCAGCTTCGATCATCTGGGGAAATAATCATCACCTCCCAATCTTTTTTCCAATAATATAAAAACTAATCAGAACGAAAAAAAACTAACATGCAAAACCAAGAAAAAACAATTTTTGATACAAAAAAACGATTAGGGTTCGTAGAATTAATGAAATGATTAGGTGATTTATATAGGAACGTCGGTGGCTCTGACCAAAAAAAAGAAAAAACCTACATCCTCCAAGAATAAAATTAGGGTTTATCAAGTGGGCTGTTCTTTGGGCCTATTTTGACCTTTTTGCCCAGTAAAAAAATAATTGAAGATGGACCTGAACCAACAAAGTGTTTTTCAATTTTCTGTAGACGTACGAGCCTACGAGGTGGTCTATAGAGAATGATTCCTCATTGTATTACTGATCAGTGATCAATGTGACAAATGTGTATAATGTATATGTTATAAATAAAAGGTAAAATCCAAGAATGTATAAAATTAAGTATTGCATTGTATTATGTTTTTTCTCGTTATGTCGAAATGAAGAATATAACAATGTATGTTTTGATGACTTTTTCAAACACTCCTTGTATACCAGTAAGGGTGGGCATTCGGGTAAGCCGTTTGTATTTGGGTAAAACCCAATCGGATACCAATCCTTCGGATAAAGAAGTTTAAGATCCAATAGGGTAAATCTAAATTATCAGTTCGGTTTCGGTTCGGTTCCAGTCAGGTTCAGATTAGTTCGGTGTAGAATTTCAGGCTCTTTTGGAACCGATACCAGAATTTTCGATTTTTAGGTAAATATATAGATTTTCGGGTAAAATTTTGAGTTTCGGATAAAATTTAGATTTTCGAATAAAATATTCAGGTATTTTCGGGTAGAGGAATTTAGGACCCAATAGGGTACATCTTCGGGTTCAGTTTTGGGTCCAATTTTTTGGGTCGGTTCCGGTTCAGGTAATCGGATCCAGTTTTTTTTTTCCCAGCCCTAATACCATTATCGTCAATGTTTCCTACTTACTTTTGGATCCGATCTCAAGTGTGGTTCAAGTAACTTATAGTTTGAATATATATTTAAACAATTTTTACTATTCAGAATCTAAATGTAAACATTATTAATGGAAGTCTAAAGCCTCAAATTAGTTTAATTGTTGAAGTATTAGAGCATCTCCATCAAGGAGAAATCCATTTAGTTTTTCAAACAAAAAAATATTAATATTTTATTACAATTTTGTTTTATGATTAAATTTTTATTTTAGTAAAAAATTGAACCAAATGAAAGTAAAGAAATACTATAATTGCAGGTAGAGAGTATCTCATAGTTTCTCACTTGAGAAACTTTCTACATTCTTTTTTTTTTTTTTTTTTTTATTAGTGAGAAACTCAATATTAAGATACTCCTAATGGAGATGGTCTTATTATCTATGCCGGTTTCACTTTTTCGTTTGCCTAACATTACTCAAACAAACTAAGAAGCTTAATCCCTAAATAGGTCTATGCATAATTAGGTTTGCTATTGATAGCCTCCACTTGGAACCACGTCCGTCTTCGTAGATTATCACGTGGGTTGTCCAGCCAAAGATATCACTTTAAGATGGTTCACATTGTATCCATGGTCAAGTCTTCATGAATTACATTAGTCCCTTATTATTTTTGTTGGTCATCAAAAGAAAAGAAAATTTGTAAGGTTATCATATTACCTCGAGAAATTTGAGATTTTGCATAATTGTTTGATATCAATCGATGCAAGCAAGATTTAGACGTTTCTTCAACATAAAATTTGTAGACATAAGGTGAATTTTTAGACTGATGTAGATAATGCTTTCGTTAGCCCCTATGAATATAAAATTTTAGGCACAAATCGTAGTCATGAGTCACCAAATCAAATGTCGGTACTCGGTACACTTGGTTTGAGATATCTCCCTATAAAATGGAACTAAGTTTACCTGTTGACACCATCCTTTCTTTTCATCTCTACCTTTGTTATCCATCTTATTCTATTTTCTAACCAACGACAACAATGACAAACCATCATCAAGAGTCCTTAACCACTTACCCTAAACCGGGTCCAACCAGAGAACAAGAACAAGTTGACGAAGAAATGATGAGCATGCAAATGCAAGCGTTGAGGATCACAAACTCATTGGCTTTTCCCATGGTTTTCAAAGCTGCCTTGGAGCTTGGCGTCCTCCATACGATTGTTGCCCTTGAGGAGGGCGTATGGCTCTCGCCTTCCGAGATAGCTTTTGGTCTCCCTACCAAGCCTACCAACCCAGAGGCACCGATGTTGATAGACCGTATGTTACGGTTACTCGTCAGCCACTCGATCTTGAAATGTCGTTTAGTTGAAACCGGAGAAAACAATCGAACCGAAAGTACCCAAAGGGTATATGCAGCGGAACCGGTTTGCGCTTTTTTCGTAAACCGTGGAGTCAACTCAGGTTCTCTCATGTCCCAGTTCATGTTGCTCCAAAGCCAAGTCTTTTTCAAAACTTGGTACGTTATACGTACCTAAATATTTGCAAATCAGCCAAATTAGTAGTTGATCCTCATTTGTATTAAACCGGTTAATAACCTCTTTACTAAACCAATATGCGATAAAGGTACTCTATATATACACGTACTTTCAATGAACAATAGAAGATTTATGTTACAGGACACATCTGAAGGATGTGATACACGAAGAAAAAGATGCATTCAGTTCTGCCCATGGCATGGGACTCTACGAATACGTTGTACGGACGAACAATTCGCTGCTATATTTAACCAGGCAATGTCAGATTCCTCTACCATGATCATGACGAAGATTTTAGAAGTTTACAAAGGATTAAAAGATGTAAATACTTTAGTTGATATTGGAGGAGGACTTGGCACCATTCTAAATCTTGTCATTTCGTCCAAGTATCCTCAAATTAAGGGTATCAATTTCGATCTAGCCGCAGTTTTAGCCACTGCTCCTTCTTATCCCGGTACATCATTTGATCAATTCTGACAAGTTGAAAATTGATTTAATTTTATTTAGTCTTACCAAAATTATTTTTTAGGAGTTGAGCATGTACCCGGAGATATGTTTATAGACGTTTCAAAAGGAGATGCAATCTTCATGAGGGTAAGTTATATACATATACATACGTTATACATATACATACGTATCTTGAATGGAAAATTTTATGATTACTATAATTTACAAACTAAAATTGTTTACGTAGCGGATATTACGTGACTGGAACGACAAAGATTGTGTAAAGATATTAACAAATTGTTGGAAGAGTCTTCCGGAAAAGGGAAAAGTTATAATAGTTGACATGGTTGCACCATCAGAACCAAAGAGTGACGACATTTTCTCTAAGGTTGTCTTTGGTACGGACATGTTGATGTTAACACAATGTTCGGGTGGTAAAGTGAGGTCTTTTGCTCAGTTTGAAGCTTTAGCCTCTGCTTCAGGTTTTCATAAATGTGAAGTAAGTGGTCTTGCTTATACATATTCTGTTATCGAATTCCACAAATAGATTCAGAGTGTTTACCAAAACAAAAAGAAGCAATAATATGATTTCGTGGGAGGAAATTATGAACTAAAAATGTTTTTCTTCAATGGTATTTTAATTGTGTGTGATAAATATTTGTTGTATTGGTTGTTTGTATTTCACTCAAGATTGTGTTGATCGTTTAATGTCAACAAAATATAATAATTCTGAATTTCTGATGATCAATGTAAAAATTGTTTTCCCTTGTACTTTATACTAAATCATTGATAATAAATAAAAATTATATTTAAATTAAACAATACAAAAAAATCCGAAAAAACCGCGGCGTAGCGCGGATGATCACCTAGTAATTGATAAAAATGGAGTGTTTGTTGGAAGCCCATATAACAATATTTGATCCGTTTTTTAAGGTTTATAAGAATTAATGTAACGATTAGGTCTCTTTATATACGAACGTTGATGGTTTTGAGTTTGACTGACAAAAAAAATAAAAAAACCTTAATTCTCAGAAAACAAATTTAGGCTTTCTTAAGTAGGCTTTTATTTCGGCCTGTTTCACATTTTTGGCCTGATAAGTAAATAACTGATTTTTTTCATATTACGAGGTGATGGTCTATAAATACTTTTTTTTTTTTTTTTTTTGCAAATTAGAGAATGAATCCTCATCGTATTACGGAATTGTATTATGGTTCTTTTAGTTATGTCGAAACAAAGAATACAACATACATATCGATTAAGTGTGAACATAAGTACATAACAATGTATAACATTAACTACGACATTGTCTTATGATTTTTTCGTCATGTCGACATGAAGCATACAACATTTCCTACATATAGAGGTAAAAGATACGATTGAATGTAAATTGGAAGTGGTTCCTTTTCCTATACCAGTATCGTCAGTGTTTCCTACTTACTTGTGAATCCGACATCACGTGTGGTTCAAGTAACTTGATTGTAAACTCGAAGTTTTACTATTCAAATTTAAAACTATATATAGTATATTAGTTGTGATATTACCAGTGCCGACTCTTGGGGTGTGCTGGGTGTGCCACAGCACCGGGTCCCATTTTCTAAACATTTTTTATTTTAAGGTCCTTAAATTTTACATAATTGCAAATTAAGACATAAGTTTAAAAATATTAAATAATTAATTCTTGTTCTTAGTTCTTGTTTTTCTAAATTTAGGATTGAATTTTTTCATAAGCGAAACTAACTAATCTATTTGTCTATGACAACAAAAACTAAAGCCACATGGTTTGATCCAAAAGAATTCGTCCAATGCTCTCCTTCATGCTCTAGTTATAATACTAGATTGAATGCCATAAAGCTGTAACACTATGTATAATGATTGATTTATTCTTTCTTTTTTGATCAAAGTTTCTAATTATCATTAATAAGAAAGATATTATAAAACAGAAAGCAGAGCGTTCTTCGCCAAAAAATCCGCTTGGCGATTAAGAGCCCTAGGAATGAAATTAAAGGTGCAGACAGTAAAATTAGAAGATAGAAACATGATATCGTGTAGAATCTCATGAAATTCCTTCTGGTGGATCTTCAAATTGAGAGTTTGGACTGAAT